AGATAATCAGCCAGTCAACCAACCAACTAACCAGATAAGCAGCCAGTCAACCAACCAACTAACCAGATAAGCAGCCAGTCAACCAACCAACTAACCAGATAAGCAGCCAGTCAACCAACCAAGCTGCAGCTGAAAACAGCAGATGTGGTTTTCTGGATCAATAATCATAAATTACAAAGAGTAAAAGCTTCAGATCGATCAGGAGGAGTTTGTTCATCAGGTCCTCTGCTGCAGCTGAAACACAAAACAGAAGAAAAACAAGAGAACCTGCAGTCTCTGCCGGGTCCACTGGGTCCTGGTTCAGTTCTGCCATCAGGTCTTCAGAGCTGAGCCCCTCAACCAGAGAAAACCTGATCTCAGGTCTGCAGCTTCATGTTTCTGAAAACACGAGCAGTTCGTTCTGACAGGAAGTTCTGCTCGTTCCAATATATGTAGGAGGAAACAGACCGAGGAGCGCTTGGTTTATAGCAGCAGTCAGAGCAGACGGGCGGAGTCTGTGAGAAACAAAGTCAAGTTCATGAAAGAAGTTCATTTAAATGTTTTACTTTGTAAAAGAAGAAGAAGAAGAAGAAGAAGAAGAAGAAGAAGAAGAAGAAGAAGAAGAAGAAGAAGAAGAAGAAGAAGAAGAAGAAGAAACACTAAACTGTAACACATCTGTGATCAGTTTAAACATGTAAACCTGTGTGGGCGTGGCAGAGAACAGACACGCCCACTTTTGTTTATTTTTCTAGTTTTATCAAATTAGAAATTAGAATCAACACCAGTTACTGTAATAATAGTTCTGATTAAACATGAATTAATGCATTCACCAGACAGTGTGTTGTTGTTGTTGTTGTTGTTGTTGTTGTTGTTGTTGTTGTTGTTGTTGTTGTTGTTGTTGTTGTTTGTGGGTCAGAAAACATAAAGTTTCAGTTATTTTAAAAATTGTGGTAAATCTGGTGGCTCGGTTCTGGTTCTGATGTTGTAGCATCTCTGCAGAACTCTTCTAGTTGAGCTCCTGTTTTTATAATTTAAAGTAAAAAAAATAAAACAATAAGAAAAAATTCATCATGAGACATTTTTGAATAAAAAGTCTGAAAGTTTTGACGTTTCAAACTGTGATATTTGTCACAAAACAAAAACAGATTTAATTTGAAATGATTTCATGTGAAATATCAGCTGGAATAAAAAGAACCTTCAGCAGTTCAGAGTCAAGTATCGATCCGAGGACACCGTTTGTATCGATATTCAGATCGATCCGCCCCTAACCCACAGGACGAGGAAGAGGAGGCACTCGGGTGACGGCAGCTCCAGAGACGGTCTGACGGTCCGGTCCGGTCCCGGTGAGTCCATCCAACGTAGAACCGGTTCGTGGGTTTCACCTGGACCCGCGCGCCTCGTGCAGGTGCGTTCAGCAGCTGTTTGTTGTTTGTGAAGCTAAAAGAAAGCGAAACTAAAATGTTCCGTCGGAAAGTTTGAAGCTGCAGAGTTCTGCTCAGAAAAGTTCTGGTTCTTTAAATGACAGCTAAGACTCAGCTGAACACTAACTGAAAGCAGCTAAAGGCTTAAAAGTAGCAACAAGTAACAAAAGGTTAGCTGCTCAGTTTATTTCTGTTTATTTCTGAAGAATAAAACATGAAAAACTATAAAGTTCGTTTTTCATCTGGGATTAAAAGCTTGTAGGACTTCACATCTCCCAGAACCAGAACCAGAACCAACTTCAGCTCCTCGTTGGTTCTGCTCAGCAGCAGTGGCGCGTGCAGAAATCTTTTTCGGGGGGGCATGGGGG